GGCAACCGGACTAGCTAGTGAGGGATCCCAGTGTCAGTCAAGTATTTAAGTCAAGCTTTGAGATTTAAGAATGGAGTAACAGTAACTCCCATACAGTTTTAAGAGTTAAGCTTTTCAATAGTGGAAGTACAAAGCAACTTCCACACAGTTAAGTAAAGTGCTCAAGTTTTAATAAGAGGTTAAACGTAAAGGCGTAGACTGGCCCCATCTCACTCACCAGTTTGAAGAGCTAGAGGAGCTAGAGGAGCAGTTAGTGAGAAGCGAGTTCGAGGCCAGCTAGCTAGAGGAGAGCAGTATAAGCGTCACGGAGGATGCTTAGTCAAGGGTTTCAGTAGCAACAACATTAGAGATTAGTAGTTATTTACATTTATGATTATGAGTATAGACTGGAGATCACTTTGAGATTTGAAGTATTGAGTTTGCCCATGTGTTAGGGCTTTGCTCTGAACTACAAGTGTGTGTTTTCATTATTTTTATTTATGAAAAATTTTCTCGCTGCAATTTAAGATTTGAGTATTTTATTTATCAAGGGCATTTTAGTAAAATTAGTGCCCGACCGGGTTAGGGTGTTTCATTTTGGTATCAGAGCCTGGTTTTCCTCTGTTCCTTGGTCTCCAAGGAATACTGGAATATCGGTCTCCGTTTTAAAGGCTTTTGTTTTAAAGGAAAGGAAAACGAGTCAAGGATCTTCTTTTAAGAGTTTATAGAATCTCTAGTCTACTCTAATCATATTAAGATGAATAACTATTACAGCACGACACTATGAGAAGGTAGCACGAGGGTGCAATTGGTTTAAGAATAAGCTAGGACGCGAGTTAAGTTAACTCGTCGTGGGACGTCAAATAAGAGATTGAGGCGTATGGCGATCATCAGTAAGAAAGAAAGGATGAAGGAAACGTGACTAACCCAAGTAGAATCTCAAAGGCTCTCAAGACCAAGTATCTCATCGACATGATGGATAGTAGTTTTTCAATTAGTTAACCAACTACTCGGACGTTAGCAAATAGATAATCATCATCAACCTAGAGAAGGAAGGAGGAACGTGGCAAAGGTCTGTAGAGGTAGAATCAAATGTGCGAGGACTTCAACTCCAAACACCAGCAAAGAGGTGTCAATTGAAAGGGAATACCTCAAGGATTTTGAAGGAGTTGAGAGAGTAGTATGAGGATTTTACTACTAGGAAACACGTGGATGATCTAATAAGCTAAGACAAAACAAAGGGGAGAAATACGAATCTCCAAAGGAAGAGGAACAGTCACCAAATGCCAGTAGCTATAATGATGGGAGAATTTCAGGGTCCTTGACCCTAAGTAGTGGCGAGTCAAGAAACGAAGAGGTACCACGAGAAGTCCCTCAACTAGTTTTAGTGGTCAACGGTATTACAACACAGTGACAAGGAGCAGTGGAAAGCTTAGACTTCAATAGAAGCTAGGGTAGTATAAATGAAGCAAAGGAGGAAGTAAGTAGGTTAGAGTGGGTCTGAAAGGACGTCAAAAGTCAATAGTTTAAGAAGGAGAGGAGGCATGGTCGTTTACATATGACGATGAAGGAACCCTTATAGATAAACCACGTAACTGGAAAAGAGGGTACATAACCCTGGGGAGTTAGGCCGATGACAAGCCTTTAGAAGGAACAAGACAAGCAACGAGATAAATGATGTAGAGGGCAAGTTATGGTCTAAGTACGACCACCATTAGACGAGACGTGGAGGAAAGTGCCACCAAAGTCTAAAGCATGCCTGGTAGAAGACAGTGGGGAGTCAATACATAAGAAAGGACACGGAATGTGAGGGGTAATAACAGTTAGCTAGTAGATGGCATTACGAATAGAGAACCACTTCTCAGCAGTGCGGGAGTTGGATACCAGGATAACACCGAGTTAGAAAGAGGATATTAGAGACCCTACGAACTACCCAGATCACGAAAGGTCAAGAGGTGTTGGGACCATTGAAAGGGGAATGCAAGAGTTCACGATGATCTGTTATGGGATTGTCCTCTCTTAAATGGAGGGATCACCTAGCCGCCTAGGGTACATGAGGGGTGACAGAAGGAGGAACCTCTCTACTAAGTTGGAACTAGAGGGCTAAGAGCTGAGGTCTCGGAACCAGCCGTAGGAGTAAATCATTCAACCAACAGGGTATAAACAAGCAAGTACAACGTTCATTAGAAGTTCTAATGAAAGTTGGAGAATTCGAGGAAGAGTCTAAACGGTCGTAATGAAGAGAGTTTGCGAACGTTACCAAGGAAGAGCAAAAAGGCCAGAGGGAGTTTGACGAGATTTCAAGAAGTCAATGGGTCAAGTCTCAGGTGACTCGAGGTCAAGAAGCTGCACAAAGAGGTACGATGAGGGAAAGCATTACCGAGAAAGAGGAAAAAGCGAAGTTACCTTATCCAAGGTGCCCCACTCTGAGTGGGCGCGACATGGTAGGAGGGCTCCAGAGGGGACAACTAGTTAAGGATGAAACAGGCACGTTTAGTTAAGCCACTAAGAGCCATGACTAAGAGATTAAGGCTATGTACAAGCATCGGTCGAGACAAAAGACGTGGATGAGGTATGGTCAAGCCTACCAAGGGCAAGCCACTATTGGAAGCTTTGACCCAAAACAACAATGATAAGATACTCAACAGAGTTTGGTGACCGAAAATAGTACAAAGCATCAACAGAAGGGTAGTAAAAGTAAAGAAGCAAGGAGAACACCATATGACGCTATAGGAAATAAAAAAGGGTGGTTGTCGACCGGACATTGAATGCGTGAAGGATGATAGTTGGGACGTGGTCAAGCACCATCGTGAGTAGAAGTCGTCGATGTCATCTGTCAAGTCTACCTAGAGAAAGTTTCTAGTGGAAATGTTGGCTCTGAGGTATGGCGAGGAGATACTAAAGTGAGTAGATCAAAGCTAGTACCAAGCATCGATGAAGGAGTTGTGGAAGTAAGGATGAAACCACAAGGCTATAATGAAGGTTATGGTGAAAAGGGTGGTAGTTGATAAAACGGCAAATTCAGGGAGAAAGATAGTTAGGAAGAGCTGGAGAAAGAATACGAAGGTCAACAAGGAGGTGTTAAGGTGATTGCCAGTGGAGAATAAGTTGGACCATAGGAAGCCCATCAAGAATTGAGAAGCTTAATGGTCAACTTTAAAGTAGAAGTGTTGTGGTTCAGAACGGTCGAAGGGAGAACCTTATCGGTCAAGGCACATAAGTGAGAAGAGAATATGGGCACCAAGATGACTACATCGAGGACGAGGGACATATAGAACTAGCGAGAAACATCGGTAAGAGGAGTCACGAGTAAAGAAGTAAGATGGATATGAGTTTAGCGAACCTGCGAGGATACCCTAAAGTGAAAGCAATACCACCTATGAGGGTGAAATGTGGCGATCTCTCGGGTGAAAATTTCTTGGACAGGGAAACTGTACGAGGAATTTCGGGCAAGGTCAAAGAACAATATAAGAGATTGTACGAGAGAACTCCCAAGTTAAACGGTGATAAGGAAGTGTTAAGTTAGGCACCATGAGTGAGAAAGTACTCAAAATGGAAGGTCATGATTCTGGAAAGAAGTCATAGAGTTGATCACAAGCTAGAGAAAGACGCAAAGGATGCCTCTAATGCATACAGGAAGTAGAAACAGTAGTATGAGGTTCCAACACTAAGCAGCAAGTAACGGGGCGGTGACCATTCAGTTTATGGTTAAGGGATAAGACGAGACATTGAGGAAGAAAGTAAGAGATGCAGAGTTAGGAGATATAAGGACCTAGGTGACCTATGAGGTCAACCCCAGACGAGAGTTACGTTAAAAGGGTTTTACCACCTTACTAGATGGAGGATAAGCCGCCATCAGTGACCTTGGGGTTGGAGAGGGGCATTAACTTCTCATGTACCGAACAATGGACAGTTATCGTTCCTATATATATACAAGGTGCAGCCGAGGTAATGTGAGGGGTTAAGAAGCCACAACAACATTGAAGTTGCGGAGAATGGAGAGAAGGATTTTAGGTCATGTCGTATAAGTAGAGGAAATAAAAATCCGCGAAGTGAAAAGGATTACCACAAGAGATGCTTAGGGTAATCACAGTGGACAAATTTCGAGGGCAAAATTTCTATAAGTGGGGAGGAAATGAGATACCTCGACTTCGAGAGGTTCAACATCAAGTACTGGGCCCAAGTTGGAAAATTTGGGAAAAGGGCAATGAATCACTCAAACCTATTCGATGCTACCAAGCTAGATGAGAATATATGTTATGGTCAAGAGTACATATAAGAACTATAGTAAGCTATTTAAGACAAGGTAAGGGCACGCCATTGAAGCCCATATAGAAAGAGTGAAATCTTGAGCCACAGAAGCACGAGAATGAGGAGTATGAAAGGATGAGCCCGATCAAATTTCGGGGACGAACTTTTTGTAAGGGTGGAGGAAATGTTACACCCCGCTCGTACCAAAATTCGATGACTATTATACCCTTGGGTCAAGTTCCACCGTATTATCGATGAGGATTAAAAATGTGAACTATCAGTTCAAGCGGTGTCGAATTTCGACATAAAATCAGAAAGTTACGCCATTATTTGAGTTTCAGATTAAACTCACCTGTAATTAGGAAATTCCCAGAATAACCCCGAGGAAATTAAACCTAACCTAACCTAACCCTACTTCTCACATTGCCTCACCCGAAGCTAATTAAAACCTTCCTTGTTAATTATTTCTTCCCCACCGTGAATAGCCTTTGGCAGAGAAACAAGGAGGGATCGTCCCTAGCATCACCATCTTTCCACCGAAGCAGTCAATAGGACAAGGTAAGCTAATGCGAGAGGAAGTCTTGGAAAGGGACCGATCAAGGACCCTAGCTCTGCGATAATGGGACAAGGAAGTGAAGGTAATCCTTTCTCTTCGCATAAGCGGATTGGGGAAGGGATTCAATTGGGCACGAGACGTTTCCTATCTCCATAAATCCCTCTGAGAAATCACATTTTCACAGGCAGAGAGACTAGGGAAGCTGGCGCCATTTATGACGACTACTGATGCAGCTTATCTATTGATTGCTGCGGACGACGAGGGGAAGCAGGGAGGTGATGGTGACGATGGGGTTAATGGCGGCGGGCATATGGTGGGGTTTTTCGTCAGGCCGCTGTCGAGGCTACAGGGGAGGAAGCGAAACCCAATCTTGAGGGAGGCGCTGCAACGTGCCGGGGAGGAATTTTTCCACGTCGATAACCCCGATCCTAGCGGCGGGGCACTTGGAGACAGCATCGTTAATGTTGCTGATGAGCTGAGGGATGAGGGAGAATCGGTGGTGGCCTCGGCGGGGACTGCCGCCGGTGAGGCTGAGCCTGAAGAGATGACGGAAGCCCCGAGGAGCTCTCGAGAGCTGTGGTGCTGGCTTGTGAGTCCAAGGGTGAAGCTGGGTCCTGGGATGTCTACTTGGTCGGCACCGCTCATGGTTCAGAGGTGATTGCATTCTTGAATTTCGGAATTGCGTTTGGTTGAGCATGAAAAACTAGATCAGCGGGAGATCATGTTTGACTTGAATAACTGGTTGCAATTTTGAGTATGAAACTTGTCATTCATGGTTAGATTGGAATGCATTTAGTAGCCGACAGAAGGATCATTTCTTGGATAAATTTTTCCACTGGTGGCAATGAATTGGACTAGAGCTCATGTGATGGTGGGAAATGGTGAGCAAGCCTGTAACGAACAAGTGGAGGGAAATTGATAGTAGCTGATTTAATACGATAAGGTTGAGCACAAGGTGAGTGTAAAGGGGGTAAATTCTACGCCTTACGTATTCTTTTAAGTATTATAGCGAATTGGTTATCGTTGCTTGGTTATGTGTATGATTGATTATTTGTGCTTTGCTTGAGTTATGGGTTGATGTGAGTTTGTGCTATTTGATGTGATTTTGTTTGAGCTATGCCTGAAGTGAATGTTTATTAATTACTTTGGAATTTTACGAGTATAAGTTATTATTAAAGTTTAAGAAACAAGTTCTTTTTAAGAAGTAACTCACCTTCAAGAAGGTGAAGTCGTTTTAAGCGTTTTTAGTCACTAGCGCCAGTCCGTTGCCGTTTGAGATTTTAAGATAGAGCAGCAGACCAACAGTTATGCTCTTGAGACTTTTAAGATGAGCAGCAGTTATGCTCTTGAGAATCGTGGTGAAGAGCCACCACGATAAGTTTAAGATGTTAGGGGGATGAATCGTTACGACTTCCCTAACTAATTTTAAGTTTAAGGAAAGCCTGGATGGCTTCTCATACGTATGAGTTGGGCAACCGGACTAGCTAGTGAGGGATCCCAGTGTCAGTCAAGTATTTAAGTCAAGCTTTGAGATTTAAGAATGGAGTAACAGTAACTCCCATACAGTTTTAAGAGTTAAGCTTTTCAATAGTGGAAGTACAAAGCAACTTCCACACAGTTAAGTAAAGTGCTCAAGTTTTAATAAGAGGTTAAACGTAAAGGCGTAGACTGACCCCATCTAACTCACCAGTTTGAAGAGCTAGAGGAGTAGTTAGTGAGAAGCGAGTTCGAGGCCAACTAGCTAGAGGAGAGCAGTGTAAGCGTCACGGAGGATGCTTAATCAAGGGTTTCAGTAGCAACAACATTAGAGATTAGTAGTTATTTACATTTATGATTATGAGTATATACTGTAGATAACTTTGAGATTTGAAGTATTGACTTTGCCCATGTGTTAGGGCTTTGCTCTGAACTACAAGTGTGTTTTTTCATTATTTTTATTTATGAAAATTTTTCCCGTTGCAATTTAAGATTTGAGTATTTTATTTATCAAGGGCATTTTAGTAAAAGTAGTACCCGGCCGGGTTAGGGTGTTTCACTTGTACTCAACCACTTGTGGTGGCGTCGACAATGCCTTCTTAGGATCTTCTTCCGTTTCTCCCACTTCTTCGGGATCATTAACCGATGGAGGGGGTCTTCTCTTCTTCTTTCACTTCCTTAGGAACAACCTCCGGGGTAACCTTGCCATTCCTCAAAAGAATTGCATTGCAATCGGCAGTTTGTTCTTTGGGGTTGACAATGGCTTGAGAGGGTAGGGCTCCCCTTGGCCTCTCGGTGAGAATCCCGGCAAGATAGCCAATTTGCACCTCCAAGTTTTGAAGGCTTGCTTAATGGCTCTTTAATCCCGCCTCAACCGAGGTAAACTTTGTTGTTGCCACATCCATAAAATGCTCAATCTTCTTGAACTTTTGAGTGCTCGTGCTCACAAAGGTAGTCACAAGGTCTTCAAGTTTTGCAAACTTATAAGGTTTTTGGAACCCTTGACCTCCTTGAGCTTGAAACGGTTGTTGAAAGTTAGAGCCTTGGAATTGCGGCCTTTGTTGAATGAAGGGAGGCCTTGGTTGATAATTTCATGTTGGTCCTTCGAAACCAGGGGGTCTTGGACTGGTCTAAGAAGACTAAGAGAAATTCTGTTGTTTTCGCCACCCCGGGTTGTAAGTGTTGCTATAGGGGTTGTTCCCCCTAGCATTGACAATGAAACTCACTTGCTCCTCGACGATGCTCGATTCCTTCATCATTTATCAATTCGAAATATCGTGGTTGGTACTTGAACACTAATCACATGCCATTACCGGCCACTTCCCATGCTTCTTGTCCTATAAGAGTGCCTTAATCAAACGATCAATCTTGGCTTCAAGTAGGGGACTCACTCCTACACTTTGCACTCCCCTTGCATTGCTTCTCTTTCCACTTCTTGTCAAGCCCCAATCATACCCTTTACTTTCCATGTCTTCGAGCAACTCGGTCACTTGTGGTGGAGTCATGTTCATCAATTTTCCTTGACATAAGGAGTCAATGAGGATCTTGTCATCTTGGTGGAGACCACCATAGAAGGTCTCAATCCGGAATTGCTCTTCGAATCCATGATGTGGGCATTGGAGGAAGTAATCGGAGTACCTTTCCCAAGTATCCCTCAGTGTCTCATCTTCCTCTTGCTCAAAATGGGTGATCTTCTTGCGCCACTCCACCATCTTTGAAGGTGGGAAATAACGAGTCATAAACTTGTTGAGCATATAATCCCACGAAGTGATCGAGAGAGCCGGCCTATTGTTGAGCCACCGAGAGGCATTACCCGCAAGAGAGTAGGGGAATAGCCTCAACTTCAAATCATCCTCGGGGATGCCATTGATCTTTAAACTCCCCGCAAGTTCAATGAACTTCTAAACATTCTCCCTTGGAGACTCGTTACTAAGCCCATGGAATAGGGCATTGTTCTGAATCATGGTGACAAGGGAGGGCTTGAACTCAAAATTTTTGGCGGCCATGGGTGGATTTCGAATGGCGGGTTGAATATCCGCCGGCCTTGGAGCCATGTAATAGCCCATGGTCCTCGGTTGCTCCTCCATGACCGCTCCTCTTTCAGCGGGTTCATTAGCTACCATCTCTCCTTCACTTTCGTCCTCTTAGGAATCAACCCATTCCTCAACTACAACTTCCTCTTCTATCCTCCTTCTTGCCTCCGCTAGTTCCCTCTCACCAGCCAAGTGTCGAAGAGTGCGGTTAAGATCCTCGTCTAGTGGCGTCAAAGGTGTCGGATTACTCCGGGTCATACACCTCCATGCACACACTCAATAGAACCACAACACGTCTAGCACAAGCAAGATTCAGAAACTCAAAAGTGAAAAGTAAAAGTTAGATTAACACCAAACAATCTTTTCAAAATAATGAACCACCGCCAAAAACCTGACTCAGCGCGAATGCACCACTTTAAAACTCCTGATTAAGGCCCAAGTATAAACCTTGACCGGGTGCAGTATAGGGCAAGTAAGTTTAAATATCGACCAAGGCCGGTTCATGTACCCTACTTCGATTATTTCTAACATTATCTAGTGGTTAATTTTTGGTGTGTAAACACCACATTTTGTCCGAGATAATCATTTTACTACAAAAGAAAACTCATTGTAGCATGGTACTACAATTATATTTGAAAAGGTAGCTTAAAGTTATTTGGTTGAGACTAGCAGTAGCAAGTCAATATGAACCAACGAACTACGTGGACTTTGATCCCGTCTAACGGGTACGTAGGCAACCGATAAGGTTCGAGTCCAACTAACCAATTAACTTTATCTTTTACGTCAGTGGGCGTACAATTAAATTACAATTAATACGATTCAATTTCTTTAATGGTCCAGTGGGACCCTCAAATTAAAAAAATATTACAAAATACACCCAACTCATATAAAACTTATCGACTTAAGTAGTACCGATTTAGGGCGTTGTGGGGTGTGATTTCACTTCCCCACACGTAACCATACTCCCGAACCCAAATTTCTTAACCGCAGACCATATCTCGGTTCTGACCCTATGGTCGGAGCCGATTCGAAGAGTGTTCGATCCACTCCAAGTAAGATCGATGGCGACTCCCAAAAATGCCAACGCGACGACATTCGGACCCCCCGGAGGGACGGTTGCGACAAATGGCGACTCCGCTGGGGACTTCGAGAGTCGAGCTACATAACTAAGTTCGATAAGTTTTCTAATTTTCTATTACGTGTTGGGTGTTTACTTTATTATTTGCGCAATTATATTTGCGCAATTAAATTCTGCATTCATGCATAAAAGCTCTATACCCGAGCTATCCTTTTAGAAACTCGAAAGGAGTACCGTGACTTCCATAGTAGTGGTCGTCAAGCAAAACTTTCTAACCAAGTTGAACTCGAATCCGAGGATGATCTCGAGGTATCTAGCCAGTTCGAAAGGGCTACGGCAGGATACAACTTGGGAACCAAATCCCTAGGAATTTCTCTGCCAGCATATAGTAAGCATAGAGGCCTCCCTAAACCGCCCAAAACAATCCCCAAAGCCACCCTGAAACCATGTCGTTACGCCGTCCGAAAGCCCTATGTCTATCTAATTAGGGTAATGATGTAATGATATGTGTTTGCTTATCTAGATGTATGTTTGATTACGATGTAATGATGTGCGTTTTATCTTTTACTCGTAAAACTGTGTGATTGCATGAATGAAAAATGTTTTGAAAATTCATAAGCATTGTTCTCTCATAAGATTTTCATTCACCCATTCACAATTTTATCATAAGAAGCTTAAAATGCATGCATTAGATGAAAAATGAATTTGCATTCATACATCGTTGCATTTTTGCATAAGCATCATGCATAAATATAAAGAACAAAATTAATTTAACAATGTTGAGACAAAATCAGGTTTCCTTAAAATTGCTCGTCCACAAGGAAAAAGTCAGGACTTCAAGTACTTAACTAGATCCAAGCTCGAGTTCGTCATGGAAGCGTTCCAGAAAAAGTTAAGCGACATTGAAGGAAAGATAACCGGATTCGAAGAAAAGCTAGTCGGGTTCGATGAAATGAAGGATCAGCTGAACATGATAGTAAAGATCTTATCGGGTAAAGGGAAAGGGGTAGTATCTAACGATGAAGAAATACACTCTGATGAAGAAGATCGTGATGGGAACCTGAAGGGTGAAGCTTCTAGTGCCAAGATCCCCGTCATACCCTCAAAAGACGTATATGAAAAGAAGAACTTGGGATCTCCAATACATGATCGAGAGGAAGACAAATTGGAAGGAGCCATGGACGACACGCTATTAAATGGAAAATGGGAATACCTGGACGAAAGGGTGAGAGCAATTGAAGGGGTAGAATCCTATGGTTCTACTAATGCCACACAGTTGTGCCTAGTACCATACGTGATAATTCCCCATAAATTTAAAATGCCTGAGTTTGAGAAGTATGATTGTACCACGTGTCCTAGAAACCATCTGATCATGTATTGCAACAAAATGGCTAACCACGTCCGAGATGACAAGCTCATGATACACTGTTTTCAAAACAGTTTGAGTGGGCCAGCTGCAAGGTGGTACATGCAACTTGAAAGGTCGAAGGTGAAAAGGTGGCAGGATCTTGCCGATGCTTTCATGAAACACTACAAGCACAATCAAGATTTAGCCCCAGATAGAGAAGATTTACGCGCCATGGAAAAACAAGAGAAGGAATCCTTTCATGAGTATGCACAGAGGTGGCGAGGAAAGGCCGCAGATGTTCAACCCCCCTTGTCAGAAAAAGAAATGGTTTCGACCTTCTTCGAAACACTGAAGCCTCCATATTACAACAACATGGTAGGGATAACCACAACAAATTTTGTAGATTTGTTAGTAATTGGAGAGAGAATAGAAAAAGGGATTAAGCAAGGCAAGATGGAGAATTCAGAAGCCTCAAAGAACGCTAGTCAATCTCGAAAAGAAGAGGCGGATGTTCACTCAAACCAAGGGGACACATCAAAAGGGACACTGTGGAATCGCCAACCTCAAGGTGATCAAAGTTACCCATATGTTGCAAACACTACATCGATCATCCCACAACCAAATTTCGTCAATCGTCAGGCAGTACAGGCACCACCGCCTACAACCCCACAAGCTAATAATCAGGACTCAAATAGTAATGGGGGATACAAAAAAGACATTCGAATCAATCCTATCCCCATCACATATACCGAGTTGTTCCCCCAGTTGCTCCATGATCAGTTAATTTCCCCTATACCATGTCGTCCGATGCAGCCTCCATACCCAAGATGGTACAAACCAGATGAACATTGCGATTACCACTCAGGAGCGGCTGGACACTCAACCGAGAATTGCAAATGGTTAAAAAACAGGGTCCAACAAATGATAGAAGCCGGATGGCTGAAATTTGAGGAAAGGCCAAACATTCCAGACATCGACAACAATCCTCTACCCAGTCATGGCAACTAATGTACACGCCACGTAGCAATGCTCGATTCAAGGATCATGTGGATCTTTGAGAACAAATAAATATCGAGACAGTTTCTCATGTTTAAGATGTACTACCTTTTGCTTTAATCATATGGAATAAGAGATCACCCATATGTCCAACTACTTTGGACATTTTGTGATAATTATCAATCTCGATTTTGGATTTTGCATCAATATCATTTATCATCCCAAATAATGAATGTCTCTTTCAAATATTTCGACTTGATTTCCATAAAAACAAAAAAATTCATAAATCCATCACATGTTTTCAAGTTCAGCCATGAGATTGCCATAATAAGCAATTATGAGCACCCCACTGGTGTTGAGAGTTGGAACACCGCACTGGTGTCGAGCGATTATAAACACCCTACTGGTGTCGATATTTTGAGCACCCTACTAGCGTTGAGAATGTGCACACTTTCCTAGATTTGAGAGTATAAACACCCCATTGGTGTCCATAAAAATCATGTGAGCTAATAGTCAAAGGGTGAAACGAGGATACGACACCGGGCTATTTGTAGGATCTTGTCACTAATACTATATGCCTTTGCTAGCAAATTGATACCCAACTAGGCCCAAAATCAAGCAACAGATTCATGATACGCAGAAAATAACCACTCGCAGCAACTCAAGGTCTGTATACCAGCCTCGACCAACAACAAGTGGAACCTCAAGAGCTTACCTGATAAGAAATCTTTGTAGTCACTGCCAGTTCACACAAAAACCTCCTTGGCATGCCACTTTGGGACTAATCGAGAATTCATTTGCTCCCTACTCGACCTTGTCTCTTAAAAAGCAAATTTTCAAAAGAAAGGGATAACACAAGCCAGAAATGCACTCCCCAAATATGATCAATATTCACCACTATTTTCGAGTAGGAGAGACCACCTCAATGAAAATGAACCTGCAAACCCGACAACGATCTCCTATAGATCAGCTAAATCTCATACTTTGGGGGCAAGCCAAAATCCCTCATCAAAAAGCTTCATATGACTAGAACATATTCACCACGCATTTCTACTATCTAGTAACTCAAATTCACATCTTGAGGAAAATAGAATCCCGGGGCAAGAAGATCCTCACGATTAAAGTCTGGTTCAACCAAAAACCTCCTTAAGGAAAATATTACATACCTCCACTACAAAACCATATGAAGATCGTCTAAACCAATCACGCGAAACTTTTCTGTGTTGAGAAAACCTGAACCTAGAGCTCATCTGAACGCCAACTGAAGGAGACATCTCATATTGACATGAATCTTAATGGTAGCTAAAATGTCGTAAACTCGAAGCACCCATAGGAATGAGTGAGGGCAAAAAGAAGAGTGAGAGTGATAATGAAAGCGAGGGCTTATGGGTACTCTCATGGCTAGATTTACTAAAACAGATCTGCACAATTTACACACACTTCTCTCGAGCAAGTAATGAATTTCCATTATTCACAAAAGGTTTTGGACATTGTTGCATTCATCCGTAGTCAAGGTTGATAAGAATCACTCTTTGTTTATGAAGTATTGGAAAAGACTATAGATCTTTGGGGGGCAAGAATAGCGCATCCTGGAAGAGTGGACTTTCAAAAGTACTCAATACTCAGATTTCCAAAGAATAAGTAGATGAAGACATATCAAGGATTGCGAAGCACTCAACAATTCATTGAATCCATTCGAATGGTCAATCTACCCTTCAACGACTCGACTAGAAGAAAAATCGATATATCATGAATACTTCGAGTCACGCAACAGAGTTGTGCCACAAAATTTCTCTGCAAAGCCAACATCGAAATATATTTTTCAGAATGAAAAGTCTTCTCAACCAATCACGACATCACTCGCATTACGAGAAACACCCACAGCGGGCAGGCCACCATGCCGAACACATTATTCCAAACCCTACTCTTATGAGGATGGACTTCCCAGATGACATACGTCGAAGGCTTAAAGCAATATCCACCAACTTTGTCCCTTTACCTTGGGGGCAAACAAAATCAAAAGTTTGTGCTAAGGATCAATTAGATAAAGAACAATGACTTCTTGTGGATGATCAATTTGAAGGAATCTAGGATAAAAAAACATATCTTACAACCAGACAATCATACTTCATATTATACTTTCACATGACATCATCATAACATATCATAAAATCATACATCCATATGGACTTCAGACATCCATCAGATAATTTTATACAAACCATACAACAATTGCATGTTTTTCTTGCGAAGTTTGGCATTCGTTTTGACTTACAATTTTGGCAAGTCATTGCATCACTGATAAGGCGTTAATTGCACATGTTTTTACCCCTATTCTGGAGCCGTTTGAGGTGTTGATTCTCGTGTTTTAGGCAGATTTCACGCTAGGTTGTGTTTGTTTGTGATATTTCAGGTCCTAGCAAGTGAATGAAGGTTTAGGAGCGAGTTCGGGGTCGATTGGACGAAGATCGAGCGCGAGGCAAGTAACAAAGGAACCCACACGGGCACACTCACAACTCACACGGCCGTGCAAGTGACCAATTTGGCCGTGTGGGATTGTGCGAGCCTTCACACGGCCAGCCCTGAAAGTCACACGGCCGTGTGAAGTTGCTATTTGGCCGTGTGGAATTCTGCGAGGCTTCACACGGCCAGGCTGGGTGAGCTACACGGCCGTGTGGCCCTGGCCGTGTAGGAAGCCTGAAATCCAATTACTCGGAACGCAGCGTTTTGAAGTCACACGGCCAAATGGGTATGCCACACGGCCGTGTGGCCCAGCCCGTGTGAGTCGGGAATTTCTGGTTTTTACCCAATTTCGGGCTGCAAGTGAGAGAATCGGATTTTCAAAGCAAAAACAAAGACCTAGAGAGAGAAAGTACGAAGAACACATCCTAGAAGCTATTTTGGAGCTGGGTTTCATCAAATCGAGCTTGGAGATCGTCATAGGAGTGGAAATCATCATCCCAGAGCAGATTCTTCCCATTGTTATGAGTATGACTGTTTTGTATTCTGTTTTCCCCTCTCTCTATGGAGTAGAACCCTTCTCTCACTTGGGTATGAAGAACCCTAGTTCCATGTGTTAGGGATTTGATGTAATGACTTGGGATGATATTACTGTTTGGTTTTAATCGAATGATGCATGTTTATTGAGTCAATTGAAGTCTGATAAGCTTTTCCTGATTTCTGCTGCAACCTGAGATAGATAGAATCTGATTAGGTTGTTAGAGCCTCATCATTCGGTAGTAGGAGATTGGCTATACGAGAGTTAGCAGTTTACTGCTTTGTACTGGAATCCAATTCCAGTAGTGGAGTTCTGTGCTTATTGCTTCAGCTTTCTATCCCGGTGAAGACTAGTCGTCTGCCGGGTAGTTAGATTGAGAAGGCTTGGTCAGCTTAAGAGATTCCAAGCTACTGTCGGATCTTCCGCAGTCTAATCAACAGTAAATCAACCCAGGGAAATTACAATTGAAACCTAACTAAGGAGCTAGGGGGACTCATTCCCGAGTGACTCTTCTTTGCTTGAGAAAACCGTACCAATTCCTGCTTTCTTTCTGCTTTTGCTTAAAACAACAAACACTTAACTTAGTTGGCTAGATAATAGATATTCACGGAGTAAGCAGTAGATCTAGACCTCGGGTTGATAATAGAACTTGCCATTTTACTGCATTCCCGGACTGCGATTACACTTGGTCGAAGTTTGGTGTTGTGTTTTGGCGTGTCCAGTTTTTGGCGCCGTTGCCGGGGACCCTCTAGGTTATTGGGGAAACGTGCAAATCTGTTACTCTAGCTTTTTATTTACTGCATTTTATCTCTTCCACCTGTGTGCCTTCACGGGTTGCTTTTGCTGATTGTGTGCAGGTAGTGCATGACCCGTAGCCAGTCGGGAGATCTACTACCACTAGACCAGGAGCTTGAACGAACCTGCAGAAACTTCAAGCGGGCTCTAAAGGCGCGACTGGCTGCGGAGGAGGCGCTGGCACAGCTACAGATCACTGACGAAGAGGCGATGGCTGACCCACAGGACCATGATGTGGTCAATCTTGGGGAGCAGACCATGGGATCCTACTGGACCGCCAGGGCTGCAGACATGAGGTCACCCATTCAACATCCTCATGTCCCAGCCAATAATTTTGAGGTGAGCACCTCAGTAATCACCATGCTGCGCGGTTCAGTGGTGTTCCGTGGCAAAGAGGGGGAGTGCCCTCGTTCACATCTCAGGCGATTCCACGAGCTCATTGATGGAATCAAGATCAATGGGGTCCCAGCAGATGCCATCGAGTTGAGGTACTTCCCATTCACCCTGGAGGGGCAGGCCAATGAGTGGCTAGACACTCGACCTCCGGCCTCCATCACCACGTTCGCCAACCTGGAGGACAAGTTTCTCACCCGCTACCATCCTCCATCCAAGACGGCGGACCTGCAGAAGCAAATTACCCATTTTGCTCAGGATGAGGATGAGACCATTAGGGATGCTTGGGAGAGATACACCACTCTCTTCCTCAAGTGTCCCAACCATGGTTTTACTGATGCCTTCAAGGTGGGAACCTTCTATCATGCTCTCTTCCCGGAGGACAAGCAGCTGATTGACTCGGTCTGTGGCGGGAATATGCTCACCAAAACGCCGCCACAGCTGAATCAACTTTTTGAAGAGATGGCAGAGCAGGGATATGATTGGGGCACTTATAGGAGATCGAGAAGAGCACCAGGGCGGGGTGTGCATGCTGTCGCCACCCAGTCATCTGATTTGGTGCAGGTGGTATCGAAGCTGGTTTCAGCCATAGATCACTCTGGATTGATTACAGGTACAGGACAGCCGCAGGCGATGCACTGCCAGTGGTGTGAGAGCTCCCATCACACCGTGGAGGACTGTCAGGCGATGAGGGAGTCGTCTACTCCCCAGGAGCAGGTGGACTTCATCAGTAATGCCAGGCGCTTCGACCCCTACAGCAACACTTACAACGAGGGGTGGCGCCAGCATCCCACCTTCTCCTGGGGTGGGGCAAATTCCAGACCACCAGTCCCCCAGGGACCACCTGGCTTCCAGAGGCCTCCTTACCAGCCCAGACAAGGGCAATTTCAGCAGCCACAACAGCCACTCTACCCGTCCAGACAGGGGCCAGTTCCACCTCAGTCACAGGTGCGGCCATTTCAGCAGACAGGGGCAGCACCTGCAGCATCAGCTCAGAGTGACCCAATGGCGGAACTGCGAGATCTGGTGGGTTCTCTGGCCACCTCCAATGCAAACAAGTTCAACAACATCGAGCAGTTCATGGAGAAAGCTTCCGGCAAATTCATGGAGCTAGAAGTTGGTCAGAGAAACACGCAGGCTGTTCTTCGGGATATCCAGACCCAGCTTGGGAGTGTTGCCCAGGTTGTAGCTAAGAGGCCTCCTGGTACTCTACCCGGTCAGACCATCCCTCATCCGCAGAACCCGAATGAGCACTGTGGGGCCATTACCACCAGGAGTGGCAAGGTGACTGCCGATCCCCCT